AACCATGTCTATGGTTGGAGTTCGCGTGTTGAATTTTGGGCGTAGTTCAACTGTCTCAATTTCAGTGAGAAGCTTTTCTAATTCGTTGATCCTTGGTTCTTTCCTGGTCAAATTTCATCTTTAGGTCATCAAGTTCTCCTTGCAAAATAGCTCCCAATTGCAAAGAATCTCCTTCACCATCTTTCCTTTGACCACCTTTCTGCTGGGTGAGTTTCATAACTTTCAACTCACGTCGAAGCTCATTCAGTTCTTTTATGAGCGTTACATTTTCTCGCATTATTCGTAAATGGTTTTTATGACTTGAATCTGAGTCTTTAGAAAGTTTCCTTTGCAAACTATCCACCTGAATGTAAATGTATGACCATCAGACTAAGATTACAAGATATGACAACGTACCGTTCGTTCTAGATAATCTCGTTGCCGAGCCCCTTCCGCTAGTAAATCATCATCCACTGGAGTCATAGTCACTTTATTTGATACATACTTCTCATTTAACTCTTTCACAGCCTCTTTAAGGCCGACAGGATCCTGCAACGTAACATATTATATTATGCAAAATCACAGGATTTTATACCTCAATAAGCTGTGTGAGCTCATAAAAGTCATGTTGTAGATTTTTTATAGCATATCTTGCATCAAAGTTTCTACGCCGAATGTCAGCAACCTCTCTTGTAAAACCGTCTAATTTAAGCTTTAATTCAGCAATAGTGAGCTGCTTGCGGGTGTTGCCATTGTGAGCTCTGTATAAAAGATTTTTGAGCACTTAAAAATAAATAAACTTGTGTACCTTTCGAGCTCTTTTTCCATATTCCAAATTTGCGATTTGGCAGTTTGAAGTTCAAATTCTCTTGGCTCAATTGTATGTTTTAAATCTTTTATTTTATAATCCAGCACAAACTTCACTTTCTCTAACTCCTGCAACCATTCTTTTTTAGCATGTTACCACTATTTAAATTTTCTCAATACCTGTGTTTTCCGCTTTAACTCGTATATTCGTTTTTCTTTTTCACCTATAGTTTCGTCTCTCTCAATAATATCTTTCTTTAACCCACTGCAACTCGGAGGATTAGCAAAACTTATGAAATTCGTTTCTTACTTGATGTCACGCTCAAAATATGCAAGTGTCTGATAAAGTTCTTTTTTCTGTTCAAAGAGGGCTTTAATTTCTCCCTTTTGTTCTTCCATATCTTTTTGATACTCATTAAACTTTTTCTTAAGTAGGCCATTCTCTCCCTTTAGTCTTAGTACAATCTCTTTTTCTTGTACAAGCTTGGCCTCATACCTATACAAAGAAAAAATTTAAAACTGAAAAACATTTTACAAAATAAATCGAAGTAATACTTTTCTTTCAAATCCTCAATTTCTCTATCAGTGTCTTCTTCTGTTTGGTGTTTGATTTCCTCAAAATCACGGTTAGCTTGTTTGAGATCTTCCTGTACTTGCTCTCGAAGAGTGTTTTCCTCGGATAGTTTTGTCTCGAACTCCTCAGTCAATTCCTATTTCATTCAATAAAGCCGCCAACTTCAGCACAAACATTAAGCTTAACCAGACCTGCACAACTCTCTCATGTCCCTGAACAACGTTTGCATGCTTTTCTTCCCAGGATTCGTTTAAAACATCTTTTTCTCGACCCAGGCTTGCATATCTGAGTTGTGTGCACAAGCTAAATACAGCTGATGGATAAATGTAAGTAGCACCTTTCAACCTCTGCCATCATTTTCTTTTGCCATTGCTCTTCCAACTCTTTCATTTGAAGGATGTGTTTTTCTTCAGATTTCATTTGCTTTTGCTCCATATCTATCCCCTAAAGTAAAACCCATTCCTTGGATAAAATCTATGAAAATGTGATTCATACCTCCTGATTTTTCAGTTGTAGAAGCTTATCATGACGTTCTTGTGCTCCTTGAAGCTGTTGCTCATATTGTTCAGTCAAGGCTTTCACTCTTTCATTTGCAGCCATGTCTTTGAGGCGAAGCTGGTACTCATTTTCTGATTCAAGTTCCTTGACCTGAATAAAAAGTCAATTATAAGGATACCAAAAACAAAACCCTCACTCTCTCTTCGAGCTCTTGTATGTGCTGACGCATGTCATCTAAATCACTTTTCGTAATGAGAACCTCGTCTGCAAATCCAAGTGCTTCCTTCTCACGTCTAAGACCGACTGAAACAATGGCTTTTTCCCTGTCCTTGACATCAAACAATGATAGTATTCCATCCTCCCCTACACAAGCTAGGAGATTTGCGTCGTGACTAACACGGACCCTTGTAATCGGTGCAGTGCTTGCTTGAACTTCTTGATATTCCCCTGGTGCAGTTCCCAGACATGATAAAACAGATAGTATGCCTAGTACTAACATACCTGTCAAAGGGAATCTGTAGGTCCGCATTGTGCCTATTTCTGTGGCAGCAAATAATAGTCGACTGTTGTCAGGAAGCTCAATTTGAGTAAGCATAATTGCACTGGGGAAAACCTGAAATTGAGGTTGTCATTCTGCATGTTTAGTTAAGACTAGCCCACCTTAATCACTTGGTTTTCATCCAGCTCTTTTAACTTCCTATCAGATCCAACCGCAAAGAAAGAACGGGAGCCTGTGACACTGGTTACGGAGGTATAAATGCAACCTTTCATAACATTTTCTCGGTTACGCTTAAAGTCTTTCATTCTCCATTCATATAAAGCACCGTCAGCTCCTGCTGACACAATTGTAGTGTCGTCTGCAGACCACCATATTGAACGGACCTAAAAAGGAAAGAAGTCGGATAAACCACAACATTCATAAGTCTACCTTGCCACTGTGCCCGCGTAAGTTTCCAACATTCTCGCACGTATATGTGGAGAAGATTTGAATGACGTTGACGTGCACAGCAGCAAAATATTGTCCTCCATTGCTGAAAACACATTCCTGGCAACCTTTAATTCCAATTTCCTTACATATCCGGATGTCGTCAATCAGTAAATTCATAAATCTGAGCTTGTCAGTGAAGCCAACAAGTGCGTAAAATCCTAAAAAGTCCAAATTCAATGTCGCAGAATGAGATGTGCACAAATACAACCTGTCGGATGTAAAGCAACCGAAAAGGCTTCTTCTTGAAAGAACTTGACAACTTCGCACTGCCTATCTTGGTAGTTCCAGACTCGGACGCTTCTATCCATACTACAAGTCACTATGATCGGTTTTCGGATGCAAACATCCAGCCCAGTGATGCTGTCTGTATGGAAAGCCTGCACTCTTTAGTTCAGGTTGTATGGTTGTCAACGTGTAAAATGTGAACCGAACCTGAATAGTGACCTCCTTTGGAACCTCGCCAGGCTTAAATGTGTCTTTCTGCTGCAATAGGACGGATGCTAATTGGTTGTTATCCAGTGTACAAACAAGCAACTCTTCACTAGGTGACAAAGCAAGGCCGCGGATTTTTGAATTTGCATTGTCAACTTTGAAAGAGCAGACTTTTTTGAACCCTTCTTTAACATCTTTCTCCTCGGTTTTTTCGTAAAATGATATTTTACCACCAGAGCCACCACAAATAAACCCCTTTGAGTAGTATATCGTAAGCTCTGTTTCTGGAGGACCATCCGAGTTATCCGGTAGAAGCGTGCTGATAACCTGCTTGTAAGTCAGGATTTAGGACGCTATCAACTTAAACTGGACCGTACCTCCCCGCCCTCTACATAAACAAGTTCACCAGTGTCTGACACGTAAATGGCTGGGTCTTTGTTGTCCCGGTCTTTTTCATCGTGTTCCCCGGGCTCACAGAGCCATGTATGCCATAACCAATTGCTTTCACGCTTAACAATCTCTGTTGCAATTTGTCTGAACGCCGTTTCTGTCAACTTAAAGTGTTTAGCAAATCCATCTCCTACTACGGTCACCAAAGAGGCATCGGCTGGACAATATAAAACCTGAGAAGACATTGTAACCTTTTTTTAAGTAAGTATAATATGAATACCTGATATACTTCTGCAAGCTGATTAGAAGACTTCACAGATGCTACAACTTTTGACTTTTCTAAACCCCAAACGACAAGATTCCAGTCCGGTCCACCTGCTTGAGCAACAATAGACCTCCCGTCTGAGCTAAAACACAACGAAACATATTCTCTGGTACTGGCAACGAATTCTGTTCCTGCTAACACTTTCTTCTTCTTCAAAGTGACAGTTTCGTATAAACTAATGATAGGACCTTTTGTGTCTGGTGAAATAGTTCGACCCTCGGATTCCGCACCTTCCATTGACCTCGCATCAGTAGGTATAACGGAACTCCTGGATTCAGAGCTTGCACTCGACGCACGCCGCTCTGAACCAAGCATAAACGGGGGCGCCCTCTCTGCAATTGCAACAATCTTCTTGCTGGGGCTGAGTGCCAGTGCTGTAATTCCATATGTATCGGGAGTGCCGGCAATGATTTTTTGTTGTTTTTGATCCACAGTTTGAATAACCACATTGTGACCAGCTGGATATAAAAATGTAGCATCATCAAGAAAATACAAGCACCCTTTCTGTGTCCCGTTCAAGCCAAAGACATGCGTGGGAATTAGCTGGTTTGCCATGGCATTTTGGGAGGTTAGGGCTCATTAACTTTAGGTTTTCCATCGCCACTGGACGACATTGAACGGTTGGGTTATTACTTCAGTTACCGATTTGTTCTATCATAGTTCTAAGTTTCTTATTATCTTACAAAAAGCAAATTCACTTATTAATTACACTAATATGAGGATATTGAACTTCTGTCTATGGGTGGTGGAGTTATAAGACACAAATCTCTAAACCCCAAATAAAGCTGAAAGTGTGCCACATGGTAGTGGCCAAAGCATAAGTCCAAAAGGCATAACATGTTTGGAGGTAGTGGCCAAAGCATAAGTCCAACAAGCATAACATGTTTGGACGACAAGCTCCAACTCAAAAAGTCAAGAGCAAGAGTAGAACTCCTAGGGACACGCTTTGAATTTTTTATATTTATTTTCAGAAACGGTTGAGATTGTAAATTTTTATAGCTTGAGGCTAGGGTTTTGACTTTAATAAGGGCAAAGAAAATGCTTTTCCAGGCCTTCTTGCTACTGCAGCATGCACTATTCTTGAGCGCTCAGGAAAGCCCAGCCATGAAAGACGCGTACAGCCTTCTTCAATTCAGATCTACGATTTGGAACGATACCTACATGTCGCTCCGAAATTGGTACCTAAGCTTTTCTGGGGACGCTTGCTCTTGGAAAGGCGTCTCATGCTCAGCCAGCCGCCGAGTGAGTGCTTTGAATTTGGCCGGGCTTACTCTCTATGGCGCGATTACACCTAGCATCACCGATCTGACGGAGCTTACAGTACTTGATCTCTCAAATAATTCCTTCATGGGGGGAATTCCCACGCAAATTTCAAGGTGTAAGGAGCTCACTGAATTCAACGTGGCTTACAATCTGCTTACAGCGGATGTTCCATTAGAGCTTGGATTTCTTACAAAGCTCAAAGTTCTTCGCATCAACGACAACAATCTCTATGGTATCTTGCCTCCCACATTTTCAAACCTGACGCATTTGGCTCACCTCTCTGTTGCTGGCAACATGTTGTCTGGATATCCTTTTGAGACCATATCGATTCTAAAAAATCTTGAGTTCTTGGACTTGAGCTCTAACAAATTCAAAGGCTCTGTCCTCAATCAAACAGTGGTGAATTGGCCAAAACTGGCAAAGTTCATTGCTAGAGCAAACAATTTTGATAACGTTCTGCCAGCAACATTGGGAAATCTCGTCGCACTCCAGGAGCTGGATATCAGTCAGAATAGCATACAGGGTACAATTCCTGATAAAATAAACAAATGTGGAAACTTGGTGATTATGAATCTCAGCTGCAACGCTTTATCCGGTGCCATCCCAAGTGCTGTTGGTGAGATTCCAACGCTTAGCGTTTTGGATTTGAGGGCTAACTCGTTCAATTCGGGTTTGCCTACTGGCATTAATGGATATAACAATCTGGTGCGTCTTCAGGTCTCGAGAAACAATTTTCTGGCCATTCCCGACGATCTTGCTACCCTTCCTAATATTCTTGACGTAGACATATCTCAGAATCACCTAGAAGGCGTCATCCCCTCTACACTTGGAACTATGACCAGGGTTCTCAGCCTCAACTTTTCGTACAACAACCTATCTAGTAACATCCCTCCACAGATAGGTGATTGCGCAAGATTGAGTGTTTTAGACCTGTCTCACAATCTTTTAAAGGAGATTATACCCTATACTATCATAAAAATGCGAAGCCTGGAATGCTTAAATCTCTCAGAGAATCATCTTAGTGGAAGGCTACCGGAAGAGTTTGGGTATCTCAGTGAGCTAACCGAGCTCGATGTCTCTGGAAACGCAATCGGGGGAACAATTCCTGCAGCAATTGGTACTTTACCCAGGCTGACATTTCTAGACCTTGCATTTAACAAACTCTCGGGAATTATACCGACAAATCTCAACTTTCCTGCGTCATCATTTGTAGGGAATGCGGATTTGTGTGGGCCTATTCTTAACAAGTCATGTACTACATATGTTGGTCGAACTGTCGCTCCTGGAGGTATGATGGTTTCAGCGGCAGGGTTGGTCCTCACTATGACTGTCATAATGATTTTGACGTGGTGGTTTTGTTGCCGTGACGAGACTGACGAGCTGAACAGCAGTTTTCCAGCGGGTGTACTTCGCAGGCTGACTTCCGAGGCACTCCAGAGGGCCACAGAGGATTTTAGCAGTATTAACTATATCGGCTCTTCAGCATTATGCACCGTCTATAAGGCTGAACTTTCGGACGGCTTGGAAGTTGCTGTTAAAGTACTTAGCCCTGAGTATTACGGAAGCAATCGTAGGAGTTTCTCTATGGAGGCCAAGATGTTCGCCAAAGTCTTGCACCCAAACATAGTAAAGGTTGTTGGCTGTTGCAACAGTGTGAATATGGTGGCTTTGGTTTCAGAATTGATGCCAAATGGAAGCCTTGAGAAGCATCTATACGCAGGAGAAGTGTGTGATTTGACTTGGATACAGAGGCTGGATATTATTTTGGGAATCGCAGAAGCTGTTGCTTATATGCATCACGAATGGGAGTCTCTTCTGTGGTGCGATTTTAGAACAAGAAGCATCCTACTTGATGCACTCTTCAAACCTCATATAAGCAACTACAGGATTGCTGGTAATCCTTCTTCAGAGGAAAACTTGCCGCCAGGTGAAGTTTTAAGCCATTTTTAATTGTGGATTAACAGACCCATTTGATTTAGGAAGCAGAGTACATGTTTTCCAGCATACGAACGCGAGAAGGTGACGTGTTTAGTTATGGCGTTTTAATTCTTGAGGTACTTACACGAATAAGTCCACAAGGTGACGTTTCTTGGCAAGGTGGACTTGCACTATGGGTGCAACAGTTCTACCCTACAACTCTTTCTGACATTTTAGATCCTCAAATTATGGAACTAAAGCACCATCATACAAGTATTGTCCTCTGTACGGAGCTTGCATTATTATGCACTCAAGAATCGCCTCAGGAGCGGCCAACAATGTCAGATGTGGTCCATATGCTTCAAAGGATTCGACGTTCCAAAGAACTGTAGGCTCTCTATGCAATAATTTTTAGAAAGATCCCTTGACAACAGCCAAACTAGAAAGAGGTTAGAGACTAGAGGACAAGTCACCCAAATTAGTTTCAAAAAGGAAGTTCTGCTCAAGAAAAATAATTATAGTTAAGAATAAAGAAATGTTAAAAAAAAATATAACGAAGACGTCATCAAGTTCGAGGAAAAACCTAGATCTCCCAATTATGATATAACAGCTCCTTAAAAAAATTACGGGCACTATTTCTCGAATACTCTGGGAGCATCAAATAGATCAGGGATACATAGTAATACTATAAATGAGCACTATATCTCTCAAACCTGCCTGTGAAAATATTGAGTAAGATCTACTTGCTAGGATATACACAGATCCAAGAGATTCCGATCTCAGGTTTCTTTCATTCCTCTCTTGGTCTTTCACAGTAGCTTCTTTTCTTAATTTATGGGTTTAGAGAAGAGGAAAACTGGCCGTGAAGCTCCACTCATTTGTCCCGATCGTAAGCACATCCATGAACGACTTCTAAGAAACCTTTTGCCTCTTGGGCCGCGAACCAGAATAGAACTAAAAACATTTTGCCTCCTTTTTGTGCATAGATAGATAGTAAAGCCTTGCCCACATTGTCCCAAAGCCCGGATGGAGCCGTAGAATTACTGATATGATTAAACCTGATAGTGAAGACATTCTCTGGGAGCTCTCAGTTTCATTGACCCCTGCTCATTTCCTCCAGTATTTGCCTGGAAAGTTTTCCAGTCATCCACAACCAATTTCAGGTCGCGTATCTTTTTCTTGAGATCAGAGCAGCAGTTTGCATGCACAGTACATGCTTGATTCAAATCCAAGCTCCTGCTGGCCTGGTTGCAAAAGCTGCTGAACAAAGTTGAATTTAAAAACCTTGTCTTCAATCCCAGCTTCCAAAACTCCGGATGCATTGAGTACGTTGAGTGTAACATCATGTTAAGAATGTCTTGTTCGTGCTTGCCTAGAAACGAATTTCGCAGTTTATACCACAGTTTATAGAATTCAATAGTCCGGTTGTTTGAGCGGACGTAAATGTAGCCATTATTCACGCTTTTTGGGTGCTTGGGAAACTTCTCTACGGCAATTTCAATATCTGCATAGGAATCAAAGTGTTTGAAAGGACTCCGCAGCCAAATGACATCAGTGTCCTAAAAAAGGTCAAGTTCATATGAGAAGGGAGTTACTATGTTAGTTTACCGTAAAGACAAAACTATAGCCAAGTTCAAGGACAGTTCCCAAAAAGAAAATTCTTCTCCACATCATGTTTTGGTAATCCAGACTCATGAACTTCTTTTCGGATGAAAAATCTAAACCACTCGTCTCAAGCTCAAAGCAGTGCTTGTGAATCTCCATGCAACGTTTATGCGATGCATTATCGACTGAAACGATCACCAGATGCTCCAATAGTGACTCGGTTCCGCTGCCGTGGTGAAAGGCCTCAAGGAAGACATCCAGCATGCCCCCAGGATTGGCCCAGGCACAATTCACAGCTGTAATTACCACCGTTCGGTCGAGAAATGCAGCATTCCTTAAGACTAGGTGAAGATTATGGAGCTGGGATTCGTTCTGTAACTGGATCAATTAAGTGGTAAGGCATCAATCTGACCAGACTTACAAATTTCGTTCCAATTGCACGAGCTTGCCAGTATTCACGATTTAATCGTGCTAGATTCCAGAGAAGAGCACCAGCTAAACCAAGAAGAAATATTATCCTTGAGCATTTCATTGCAGGAACTTCTATAACTAAATACAAAATTTAGGGCGGTACTTCCAATCAGCGCCTTATAAGGCAATGATGAAGTTTTTCTCTTCACCACATCAGTTAAGTTCAAGAAATGAGAAAACCCTTTATATTTGTAGGACCAATTATGTGAAGAACATTTTTCGATGGTTTTAGGCACGGGCGTACTATGCTCCGACAGAGGTTGACATTTTAGGTGCAAGAGATGTCAAACATAATTCTTAAAAAAGAGTCGATGTTTCTTGTCAAATCGAATGTACGACAGGAGGTAAGTATTAAGCACAAAGAACACTGTGGCTGGCTTGTTCGCTTGATCTTGCTTTATTGACTCTTTACCTTTTGGACCTTTTGATTATTGCTTGGACTTGGATTTTTTTAAGTTCTTTCTTTCTAATCTCAGGATTGACGACGACAAGACGAGATGAGATGAGACGATGATCGTGGTGCTGGACACTGGCAGGACTCATCGACTCAACTCTCAATATTCACTGCTTATTTGTTGCTGGATAGTAGTTAAAAAGGGAAATTAATCATTATTAGCAATGTTAACCGTTTTACACATTAGGTCAATAATGGAAAATTTTGTGGAATATGACTGAAGCTTATAGATGAGAAATTTTGGATACAGATCTCCCTGGTTCACTTTGTCGGCCATGGATGGCGCTCAAGGCGCTGGGTAAGCTCCCGATAGAATCCGCACTGTCACGTAGGAACTACCATAGAAACAAGCATTCATGTTGGATCTTCACATCACGACGATTGAATTCCCACAAATGCCCCTGCTTTGCTCGTCAGTGAATTCTTTGGAAGCTCCACTGGAAAGCGAAGGCTACCTGTGTTTAAGCTGAAGCACTAGCATCGTCAGCTCGATCATCAGCTCCCTGCTCTTACTCGTGCTGCTTCCTTCTGTGCAGCCAAGTGAGAGGAAGGACAGGTTTTGCTTTTGTTGAGCTCCTCTTTTGGCTCTGTTCTGTTCATCAAAACTTCTGGTTGAGCTAGCTTGATTCAAAAAGAAAAAAGTACTGGGAGCACTTACCAATCTCTCCCTGCAAAGCTCAAGTTTGTGTTGGAGATGGTTTCGTCACCTGGAGACACTGCATCATATGCTGCATCTACACCAGCTCAACCATTTCTTGCTATCTTCGCCTAGAGTTTTATTGCCAGCCACTAGCATTTAAGGCAGTCACGAAAGTCACAACATTGGCTCACGTCCGCACTTTTGATTGATGGAAATCAAGCTGCTATACGAAACAATCAGTGCTGGCATCTTTCCAGCAAAGAGCCAAGGAGATGTGACAAAAGATGAGATAGATGAACTTCATCCACAAGAAGAGAGAGATCATTTTGATGATCACCACAAGGATCACCACAATGAGTCCAACAGTGAACTCATGAGTCCGACAGTGAAGACAAGAAGGCTGTAAGGAGGAAACTCAAGGCTCTGAGCAGGGAAGGTGGTGATGACAGGTGAGGCGAAGTAGTTTAGGAGTTCTTCAAAGATGAAGAGATCCCAGTCCTGGGATTTTGACTAGCGGATGGAGATCATGAAGCAGATCGACAACATAGAACATGGAGACAAGGCATGCCCAGAAACCAAAAGAGTAAACAGCCATCAACAAATTTAGGAGCTGAAGTATGGCTCTAAAACATCTTTCACCTATGCAGCATAGTTTCAGATGGTTGCTGTTGACATTCCCTGGGATGATTCTGCACTATGAAATTGGGCTGCTATCTGTGATGATGTGAAGGTCTCTCAAGTGGAGCCAAGTTCCCTTACAGAGGTCATCAGCCTTGCATTCATTGCCTTGCCATTCACTGTTACTTTTCCTCTCCTTGCTAGGGAATAATCATCCATGATGATACGTAGGACACCCTCCAGTCACTGTGGTCCTTCTCTTGGGTATACCAAACCTGGTTATCCCTCCAGATCCACCATGCCATGGTACTTCTATTAGGGTCTTGGTTCCCACCATGTTGAACATTCCATCAGAATATTCCTGCCCCACTCATCATACACAAAATCTAACTGGGCTCTTGATACTAATGTTAAGATCCTATCCCTTACACCCTATGACAACTGGCTTAAGGGGTGACCACTTGATTGTAAGGCCGGTATCGTAAGCTTTACTATTTAGTGGATTGGCTTTGTTACACTCCTAGTGGTCACACTGAACAATGGCTGAGCCAATAGCTGCTTCCATGGAGTTGGGAATCAGCCTTCTTTTTGGCACATGCTCCAAATGCTAGAATCTAAGTTGTGAACTCACAAGAACAAGGCAGCAATGTCTAATAATGCCTGGATTCTGGAAGCCAGGAACTGAGTGCTGGGCGAGAGGGTCGTCCTTAACCATCTCATGGAGGATGAATATGAAAAATTGGAAGTGGATCATCTCTTCAAACAATGAGGATTTTCATGTTGCCAGCTCACATGCTGATGGATTTGAGCAGGGACATGAATCTTGGGATCAATGATTTTAGTGATGCGGATGTGGAGGAAAAACAAAAATCTTGGAGCCAAGAGAGAAGATGCAACTTTGTGCATACCCTTTGCATAGCCACACATCTGCCATTGGGTTACACGGAAATGGTAGAATGGCCTACACTGATAAGGAAGGGACATTGTATGATCATTTTTCTGTTTACATTTCGTTTGACATGAATTCCAAATAATGCTAAGATGTTTAGATGTGACTTTCTTAAAACCAAGGTGGAGTATTTAAGCCATATTGTCTCTACAGAGGACACTAAGAGGACAATAAGCCATATCCTAATAAGGTTTGGGCATACTTTTTCATGGAGTGCTATTTATTTTAGCCTTCTCAAGAAGAATGGCAGTGCTTGATGTGACACAATTATATGATGTATATATTGTGCATGTGGTGCACTTTAGGCTGTTCTATGCAAATGGGCATGCCATTGCTTATGAAATTGTAAGTTTAATGATGCTGAGAAGAGGTATTTAAATTTTGAGCAGGAGTTACTTGCTATTGTGCATGTTACATAAGGACTCTAAAATATTGGGTTATACCGAGTTTTTCCTAAGATACTGCCCATAAGCATTCCACCTTATTATGGAATTGAACATGAAATTGATTTAAAGCCTTTCATGAATTCACTCAAACTTGACTTTTAAGTAGCTTTAAAAAGCTGCAGGTCAACCATTGACTAGTCAACATTGTGCGCTATTTGTGACTATTCTGCCAACCAGTCACATGGACTATTGACCAATCAGTCAACAATGATAATCTGACTGTGACTTGACCAGCCTACCAATACTTCATAATCGGGGAAGAAACAACTATTATTTCATAATGGCTTGAAGAGTGGAGATGGCAATGAGGCCAAAAGAAATCATTTGGACCAATGAGAGAAAGACAAGATAGAGGGTAATTGTTTTCATTGTTAGAAGGCTAGATGTCATGGCAAAGATTATCCTCTTGTGAAGGGATCAAAGAATGCTAAGATAAATGTGGTGGAATCCATTGTGGATATGGTGCTATGGTGACTCTTCCACACCTTGTGGGAAAAGTTCAAGAATCTAAGTCTCGAGCAACTTGGTTTGTCTGTGGAAAAGAGTTCAGAAATTTATGAGGTGGTTATGGCAGATGGATGTAGCACTCGTGTTTATGGTGAATAAGCTCTGAGTGTTCCTTTGATGGTTCAGAGGATTCTTGACCATCCCTTGTTCTAAGTTATGGATCTTGGTCGCACAGATGTTATTCTTGGGAAGGAATGGTGTTATGATAGGAAGCCAGAGATTGATTGGGAGCATAATGTTCTGCATATCAAAGTTGATGGCACTGTAAAAGAGATTGTCATGATAGATAATATTGATACTCCATGCTTTGGAGCTGGTGACATGCGAGATAGCTAGATCTTTTGTGGTGTACTTGTTTTTTTTTCTAATATGATCATGTCTGATTTGGAGTATATTTGTGGGCATAGGGTTTAGGTGGATTTCATTCAAGAGGAGTTCCATAATGTATTTCCAGATGAGTTGTCTAATGGTTTGCCTCCCGAACGTGGAATTTAGCATGAGATTGACTTGGTTCCTAGAGCTACTCTTTATTAATGACAACCAACTCATACTAATCCTACTGAAAATGAAGAGATTAATAGGCAGCTTGCTGAGTACCTTCGGAAAGGGTGGTTATGGATCAACAACTCTTTTTAGGCTGCTCCAATGGTGATGGTCAAGAAGAAAGATGGTACATGGCATTTCTGCATAAACTACAAAGGATTGAATGATAGGATGGTGAAGAATATGTTCCCAATCCCATATATCGATGATTTGCTCAATTGTCTTTGTGGTGTTTGATATTTCTCAAAAATTGATTTGAGGCAAGGGTATCATCAGATTTGTGTCAAGCCAGAGGATGTTCCAAAAACCACATTCCAAACAAGGATGGGTCATGAGTTTTTGGTGATGCCATTTGGTTTGATAAATGCTCCTGCAACTTTTTAGAGATTGATGAATCAAGTTGTACAGCCTTAGGAAAGTTTGCAATTGATTATTTTGATGATATCTTGGTATTTAGCTCTTCAGTGGAGGAACATGAGATGCATGTGTGTAGTGTTTTGAAACTTTTGAGGGACAACAAGCTCTACTCAAAATTATCTAAGTGCGAATATTTTTTGGAGGAGATTGGATATCTTGGGCATTTGATTTCAGTATATGGAGTGAGAGTTGATCTTGCAAAGATCTAAGTCATGGTTGTGGTTCTCAACTTCCATTTATAAGGGTGTGAACTTGTAGGGAAGTGTGGTGGATTGTAAGCAACCAAAAAGAATGACTTGAGAGACGAGCCTATACTTTCGATAGTGCATGATT